CCAAAAACTCATCACCGACTCCACAAGTGAGACTTCGTTGCCTCCAAATCAACCGATTACCCCGTCCACTCTCAATCGGTACCTTACGAATTCAATGAAAAGCCCAGATCGAACTTCAGAGCCGTCATTAGTCTTGGCAGCGCCACAGATACCAATGTATGGACAACATGAAAAATCAGATGAAATGAAAGAGGATAAACCTCTTATTACGGGTGTTAATCAATATTCCCCTTCCGTGGTAAACACTGCTGAAAATGAGAATACAGAACCCGTTCCAGGAGTGACCAGTGTCTTAGTTGCCCCGTCGGAAAATGAGAGATTGTTAGATGTTCCACCATCGGTTGAAATAATACCTAGTGCAGACAAGGTTTCATCTGTGCCTGAACCTTTTCACAAACGTAGTGATTACCATATGACTGCACTTCAAAGCTTTTCGGATCCTCAAGTGGCTCCCGATCTGAATAGAAGCCCTCGGGTTTCAGCTCGACAGTCCGAACATTTTCCGAAGCCAAGCCAGGCTAAACAGGATCAGTTATCCGTGAGAGTGGCCCAAAATGCCATTCCAACAAATCACGATGAAGGGGAACAGAAAGTTCCACGACTCGACTATGCGCCAAACATGCTTGACTTACCGCGCTCGGATGAAGCGGAAATACACAAAATTCCTCAGGGCCCGCCGTTCCACACTAGCGTGCAGTCTCAGCTACAGTTGATAGATCCTGGACGGTCTCCAGCCGTTGAAGGCGATTTAGATAAAAATCAACTTCGAGCACCCGCAGTCACAAACGTAATGAGTCAACCAATCGCAGTGGCTGAACCTTCCCAAGGAGACATGGTTTTACCAATGCATTATGTTGTCCCCAGCGTACCAGTTCCAGATCAACTTAGTAATTTTGCCGTATCAAGTAAAGATGTGCTCCAAACCGGACGTGAGATTCGGAATGAAAAGATTCCCACCAATGTGGAGCGAATTACTCGTGCACCTGCTCCTAAGATGGAAGATGCTATT